AGCTCTGTATGGTTTGAACCAGTCACCGAGGGCATGATTTGGTAAGTTTTCAGATATAGTGTTAGAGATTGGTCTTCTTCAATGTCAAACAGACCACTCTGTGTTTCATAGACAAACGGATGTTGAATATGTTCTAATGGTGGTTTATGTAAATGATACTGTAATTACTGAAAATAATTTTGAGGGGATTGTCAAGTTAAAAATCTTTCTACAAGATCGATTTCATACTAAGGACTTGGAAAAACTCAGCTATTTCTTGGATATTGAAATAGCTAGATCTAAACAGGGTATTTGTTTATCCTAGAGAAAATATGTACTTCGCATGTCAAAGGAAGCAGTTTTGCTGAGTGACAAACCAATTTATATTCCTATGGATCCGAATCAGGAATTGTTGATGAATGTTGGTGCACTATTTGAAAATTCGGGTCGATATCATTGGTTGGTTGGAAGTTCAATTATTTCACTATTACTCGACCGGATATTTCCTGTGAAGTCAGTATAGTAAGTCAGTTTATAGGATGTCCTAGAGTACCACATTGGGAGGCAGTTACTCATATTCTACGAGACCTCAAATGCGCTCCTGACCTTGGACTATTATATTGAGCTAATAGGTATCTTAGAGTAGAAGGTTTTTCTAGGCTGACTATCTTTCTGATCAGATATCAACCACTGGTTATTGAACTTTCTTAAGAGATAACGTTGTCACATAGAAGAGTAAGAAACAACCCATGGTAGCGAGATCCTCTAGTACACTTTCTCTAAGAAATTGATTTTCCAATTCAACCTCGTTTACAGTTGTTCTATGATAACCAAGTAGCTATTCATATTACTGCTAATCTAGTATTTCACAAAAAAATTAAATATATCGAGGTTGATTGTCATTTTATTCGAGTCAAGATAGTAGCTGGAGATATTACGACTCTATTTGTGAGATCTGAAGATCAACTTGCAGATATGTTTACCAAAGCATTGAGTCGTACACATCTTACAGCCATTTGTTCCAAGCTTGAATTTCATGATATATATAGTTCAGCTTAAGGAAGAGTGTGAAGAGCATTAGGGTATTATGTAAATACTAGAAGGTATATACGCCTTTTTTATAATTACAAATTATCTATAAATAAAAGTGGTTTGTGAGAGGTAGGTTAAGTTTTGACCTCTCTCCATTTCTCTCTAATTTTGTGTTAATTCTCTCAACCTAACAAACAACAATATCAATGCACAACACCATCAATGCACAAATCATGGCCGCACAGCACCATTAACTCGCACACATAGCACGATTCGACCCACCCCATGATCACGCAACACCATATCTTTCACACACACATTTACTAACCCATAATTCGAACCATCCCATTGGAAGTATTGAATCCAAATTTAGTGAGATATTGTTGAGCATTTGTTTGATTGTGGTTAATCAAATTTGTGAATGAATTTTTTATTTGACCAATTAAGCTCTCATGGAGGAGTTGAGTGACCAAATTGATACAATTGAAAGGCTAACGACCAAGCATATTAAGGGACCAACAAAATAAGTTTTTTCCTAGTTATTTTATACCTCAAAAAGTGACATTGAATAAATTTTAGTTAAAAATATAAAAAGACACTTAGAATTGTCACTTTAAGCCTCAAATTGTCTTGAGCCAGTCCTGATCAGAACCAAAAATTTAACTATTTGATTTGCTTTAAAATACTTATTACCCAGAGATATAGTGTAATTAACTAGTTTTATGCTCTTTTTATATGTAATAGTAGAGAATTCTCAACAAACACTCTTATGCCTTGAAGGTTATGAATATTTTTTTGTGTCTTGCATTGTATATGAATTTGAGAAGAAAAAATAAAAAGAAAACTAAAAATCAGATGTATTGATCAATGTATTGACTTTCACATCCAAATCATTTTAGTTTTTAATACCTATATGCAACATATCCAAATATTTTATTTATTTGTAGATATGTATTGCAAATACGTATCCGTATTTAACGAGTATTGCATTTGATATATTATTTGGTACGAATACATCATCCTTAGTGTAAGTATCCATGCTTTATAAAATTGCCACCTCTTTCTATTTAGCTAGGTCACAAGAAAATCAACACTAAGTTTTTTTGGGAAAACAAATTCTTCATGGTGTAATTCTTGTGCAAACTTTACACAATCCGTTTATTCAGTCTAATGTTATGGAAAAATCACCTAGGCACAAGGAGAGACGAGAAAACATCAACGCGTACTTGAAGCACCTCAATGGGCTCGAGGCAAGAAGACTACACCAAGCCAAGTCGAATCCAATGAGGTGCGCCTTAGGCTTAAGCATTAACTCAAATCAAATAGAATACAAATTGGGAATGATTAAGGAATTATTTCTACAAAGAGATTCAAGACAAGGCCTATTATGTATCACCTAGTACTTCAAATCGTCAATCGATGCCAATAGATTAGTACTTCAAGCATCCAGAAAAACAAACTAAAATTTCTTTCCAATCCGACAATATTTTAAAATTTCATTTCTCGGTAAAAGGCATCTTGCTCTCAGTATCGCTCACATTGTTCACTCTTTAAGTCGTCAACGCCTTTTATACCTTTCTTTTACAGTTAAACACACACGCACAAAGCTTAGTCACTTTTCTTGTCATTCTTAGAGACCTTACACACCACAAAAGACTCTTGTCCACCACTAGATACACATGAAGTGGACAAGTGTTCTTTTTAAATCTTTGTTTATTAAGTTTGTTCTAGCACCCTAATATATAGACACATCACATGATACTAAATCAAATCTTAGAGATGACCATTGGCCACCCCTGTATAAATTCCTCTCCAAATTCTATCTAGTATTTAACACCTAAATAAAATTCTAATATTTTTAATAGTTATAATTCAATCTCCACTTTACTTGCCTTTAAATTTACGGGGTCATGATATTACACTTTTGGACACTAAAAAGTGGGAATTATGTGTGAAAGAGAATAAGTGTCACTCCCACCAAATTAACAACCAATCCCAACTTAATCAACTTCCTCTCCAACGGCTAAATTTATTTTTTTTCTCCGAGAACAAGATACGCAACCCTTATTCCCACACGGAGCACACAAAAAATAAATAAATAAATAAGAAGTCGTTGCTTGATTTCCGCCAACTCCACAAAATCTGAAGCGTGCATTGGAAAGTTTTTGAGCAACATCACACCGGTGTTCCCTCACCTCTCTAGTTCAGATTGCTTATGTGCTTAAAAAATTCCAAGGAGCCTCCATTCAATGACTAATTTAGATCAACAAGAATAAATATGGTGCTAAGGGAATACGCCCAGTAAATTCACCAGCAATCCCCTAAATTTTCACCAATAGTGTTGCTAATTGATATTTTCCCATAGTTCCCTAAATAAAAGGGATGATTCTCCATTTACAAAGATGCGCAATATCTAACCCACCCAATACACACAAAAGTCACTACCCAGATAATTGATTAGAGCATCAGAGAGCCTTAGGACGACACTAGTCTGGTGCCCAATTGATCTCCATAACCTAACTATGTTACGTCTCATACAAAGATCAAAATTTTGTATCGGAACGTCTGAAACAATTCTGTTTCCAAAGAGACCAAAACGAATCAATAATAGAATTGAAATTCTAATGCGTCGAGGTGTTCCATAATATTTCGAGATGTTTTATATATTTCAATCCATTTGCATGTTATGGAAAAATAATTCTAAAATTTTTTATTTTTTTTATTCTGTTTCTGAAAGGGGTCGAAACATTTCTGTTTTCTAGGTGACCTAAACAATGCACCGAAAGAAAATTTTGCTCCTTGGTCTTGTAGGATGATAAGTTGTCTCTTGCCAATGACTAGTTTTCAGCTTCAACACAAATATTACCATAATAATTACCGGTAAACTAAAATGACACTACATAATAAATTTAATGACTAATGCATATAGATCACCCACCTCCTGCAGACAGGATGTGTATTTCACATAATCCAAGGAGTGTCTCAAAATTTACCCCATCTATAGGAGGTGCGGCTAAAAATTTTCTTTGGTCTATATCAAAATTCTACAAACTTGTCACATAATCAAACAGCATGAAAATGATGCTCGACTCTAATCCACTCATTGCAATGCATAATTAGATTAAGATTCCAACAAATGGATCACTATTGCTTTTATGCCGAAATTGACTGACAATAAAATTCTTGTTAAAATAATGGCATTCCAAATTCATTTAACAGAAAAAAGAGGGGGGGGGGAGCGAGAGAGGGTAAAACACTAAGAATGAGGTTCTAAAAGTTCTCACTGCCTATTAGATGGATTATGGTAGAAGTGTAAGGTACACATAGGAGTCTAAGCATCAGATTCATCTAGCCTCTATATCCAAGGAAACAAATGGAACACATAAAGATAGTAATATGTCAATAAATGTAATTAATATGAATGGTGGGATAAGCTTGCCAGATGCATATCCCATTCCTTCATCCATGTGTCATTTGTCTAAATGGGTGTTTGATGCATTTAAAAGAGGGCATATAACACTGGTCTCCTTATGATAACACATTTCTTTAGTCCACTCCCACATTGATTCATGCATCTTTCTATACTGTAATAGTGTAAAGCGAGCTTTTATTCCGCATCGAATGATTACGACCACCTAATGTTATTTTATATACTTGAGGGGCTACTCCACTCATTTCCAATTGATTTCAGGTTTGATGCTCTAATATGGTACCAGAACTAGACCTTGGGTGGTCAGTAGACCAGATCTCTTACCCATTTGAATTTCCTAGTACGCATTATTATTTGTGTTAACCCCACATGCGAGCTCAGGTCCCACGTGAGGAAAGGTGTAAAGAGAACTTATATTCCACCTCGAATAATTGAGGACCAGCCAAGCTTGGTTTACTTACTTGAGGACTACTCCACTAATTGTCAGTTGGTTTTGGGTTGGATGTCTAACAAATAGAAGTTACTTGTCTTGTATCTGTTCAAGTCAACAAAAGATTACTTATATCATAGCAGCTAGAAGACAGCATGCACCAGAGAAAATATACCTCGTTGGCCCAAGTGGTAGATATTTCACTCTTGGAACATAACAGAACAACGACACAAGATCTAACAGCCTCTCGTGGCTTTCATACAGCTTCTTAAGTTCTTCATCTGTCCATTCCTTTTTTGCATTATCGTGATTGCGCATCTCCCTGTAATCAAGAGCAGAAATTTAGTAAGGACCACTGGCTATGATTTTCTTTTTGTTTTCCATTAAATTCTTCGGAGCTTTGGAGAGAATGAGATCTCCAACTTACTTTATCAATTCATCTTGTGCACCATACATTTCATCGAGAACCTTTAACATAGGATTTATTAAAGATCCAAGGCCAGTACCACTGGCTCCTTGATCTTCCCCATTACTGATATGAATATCTGAAAATTGAGACTGCACACCACCCTGTGATAAAGCGTGTAAAAATTCGTAAATCTGCAGCCTATATGGCTCACCAGATCTAATTGCCATAGTTGTGAGAGCTTGAGCAGCAATGATGCGAACCTGGAATAAACATACAAATCGGCAACAGAAAAGATGAAGTCAAAAAAATGGCAATACCCATTATCAAATGAAAATTTGAAATAATGTCTAGACAAGAAATTGAGGCATAAAAGCCATCCAGCATAGACTTTTTTTTTTTTTTTTTTAAATTTGGGTAGGCATATTAGCTCGTTTTAATTTTGTTTTTTCAATTGACCGTAGAAGTTCACAAATACATATTTATTGAAATCATATTTAATACTAAAAGTTCATTAACATAAAAGGTTAATAATTGATATACATAACATGAATAAATAAAAAATAATTAAAACTTCTCATCACGAATAAGACTAATTATTGTCATTTACATTTAACTCTGATGTGTTTTTATCATATGAAAGAATTACAAATCAATCTTATANCTACTAAAAGTTCATTAACATAAAAGGTTAATAATTGATATACATAACATGAATAAATAAAAAATAATTAAAACTTCTTATCACGAATAAGACTAATTATTGTCACTTACATTTAACTCTGATGTGTTTTTATCATATGAAAGAATTACAAATCAATCTTATAAACAAATATTTTTTTATATATATAAAATCGTCGTAACAATCTTTTATTTATGACCCTATAGTTTACTACATAATGACACTTGTTTTTATGCAATAATAACATAACCCTACAATTTAAAAAAATTTACAAAATAACCTCAATATGTCCAAAACTTATATGAAAGTGTGTGAAAGATGTCTAAAAGTTAAGAATAATGCTAGTTGCACCTAATTTGGAATTTAATTAGTGGAGACCCAATGATTTGTGATCATTGGATGGATAATGGAGTTTATTAAATATTGGAACTCACTATTAAGCTTAATATTACAATGCACTAAGTCCTTAAATTAGGTCTCAATAACATTGTTCAAGAGTTAATAATCATTTGAGTAAGGGTCTATCCAAATTGATATCACCTTAACACAATAATAGGGTAGGTACAGTTAGATATGTGTAAATTCTATTTCAAAAAATACAAATCTAAAAAAAATTGAGGGCCCATGGGTGGTTCTGCCCCTGTGTGCATTCAGCATAGGCTTATGGCATACTAGTGATACATGAACTCACAAGTGAACTGAAAAATCAGTACCACAAATAAATTTCAAACTCATAAACATGACATTCATAAAAAAAGAGTTTCCCATTTTACTTCCTTTTTTTTGGCTACACATTTCCATGCATTTGGGCAGAGAAAGGGGAACCATGTTCAGGCACTCAGTTCCTTTGTTCAAAGAACATTGAGAAAAAACTCAGAATTACCCTTGGTTTTCTTTCTTCATTCTATTTTTGGGCGGGAAAAAAAATTTTGTGATCAATTGGGATCATTAGATCAACAATCTCAAAATGATCTGAGACGCGAAAAGCTCAACATAAGTTTAGGATTCAAAACTCTTACTTTAATCATATAGATTAGCAAAGAGAAAAAGGTCAACAAAACATATTTGACTTTCTAGGGACAAAATGCTGCAAGAAAAAGTACATTAAATGATCTTTTTCTTTCAATAGTGGACAAGTAAAAACTTAAAATACCAGTAACTATCCGATTTACTAAAAACATGGTATATATTGATTTTATTCAAATAATACAGGCTCAAGACATTTAACCTTGGGGGAAACGACAAGATTGAAATTCATACCTCCCAGCTTCCGCTGAAAGCGGATCTTTGGAGTCGAGTCAATGCACCAACTAGAGTCGGATTACGGGAACTGGCAGCAGCAACCATTTTATCTGCATCTAACATCATTAGTGCTGTACCAGGAGGAATTGCAGATTCCCAAGCATATTCAGAGGCAGCATAATTTGCATTTTCTCCAAGGAACCAAACCTGGAAGTTGATTACTTCAAAGGGTAACTCAAGGGTGACAAAGAAATCTAATGAATGTCATTCCCTAGGTGAAAATAATCAAGTCCAAGACTTGACGATCCAATTGATTGAATAAAATGCTTACTGCTGCTTGAACTAATCTCTGCAGTGCAAGAGCCGACTTTGGATCAGAGGCAGATACTCTATCAATGGATGTAAGACCTGACATTGATCCAGGTTGTGGAGGTGGTAGGTCAAGAACTATTGTGACTGCTTCCAAAGCTGTGTGTTTCCCACCAGGACCAGCCCCAACCAAACACGTCTGGAAATGACATAGCCATTAGAACAATAAATGGTAAATATTGCCCATTGTAAATGTATGATAAGGGTAAACAGTGTCTTGGCATATTACAAGTAACACTACTATATGGCCCTTCTATGACAACAATTATTAGAGAAAGGAATGAGGCAGCTTTAGATCTGAGCGAGGAGGGAAGTAGTATTAGCAGTGTATACATGAAGTATTTGCTTTTGCATTGGCATTTAATTTGTATAGTTGTACAGCCGGCATATCAGCTGGCCATTTTGTGTTTACACAAATTACTTAGCAAAGGAGTGACAGTTGTTGCATAAATTTATTACTAGTAAATTATTGCAGGAATGGATGATCTAAAGTTCAACACAACAGAAGCAATGGCAGAGTGCATGAAACAATCATACAGAATGAAATCACATGCCAGGGGTAAGTGTAAACCTACTTTCCACAATAGCTGTAGCACATCAGCATCGATCTTCCCAGGGACTTTAGTTGCAAATATTCTAGCAATTTCAAGAAGAGTGACAGCCATGTCCGGAGTAGCCTAACAACCCAATAATGAAAGAAAATGAAAATACAGGTATATGGAACAAAGCATATGTGTGATAGGAAGAGAAGACAATTTATGTGTGTACATAAACAATAACATGAAACGCATGTCATAGGAAAAAATAAAATAAAAGAGCAATGCTATTTGGACAAAAAATATTGACAATATTTGTTGCCTTCCAACATCATTGTCATTGATTTAACTATGGATCACATCATTTATTGGGAGCAACTACCTATTCAATGGTTGTGATAGAGGGAGTTAGTAAAAAGTGTCAATATTTTTTTCCAAATAACATTTCTCAAAATGAAATAAAAAACTAAGGTCGTATTTGGTTTGCGTCTCAAAAAACAGAATTCAAAAACTTTTTTTGAGAAGAATTTTTTTTTAGTGTTTTTTGTGCTGCAAAACTTGTTTGGTTATATGATTTCAAAAACAGTTTTATGAAACAGTTTGGACAGTAACCCATAAAACACAAAAAACAAAAATGTGGTCGTTGTCGTGGTGGTGGTGGTGAGAGTGTGGTAATGGTGATGGTGAAATTGTCGTAGCGGTGATGGCGATGGAAGTGTGGTAGCGGTGAAAGGGGGTGGTGATGAAAGTGTGATAGTGAAAGTGTGGACGTCGTGGTGGTGGTGGTGGTGGTGTGGTGGTCGTGTGGTGATGGTGGGAGTGTGGTTTTTCTTCCACAAACAGAAAATAATTTTTGATATGCAAACCAAACAGAGCCTAAACGTTTCCAAACACAATCCAAATGCAACTAACTCTACTACTTTCATTATATTTTAATTGATGGACTCCCTCTCTCACATAATTGGAGCCTAATTAAATATAAACTTCTCATTCACAAATTTTGCATTACAAATATAAAAAAACTGGGGAATAAACAAATTTAAAAACATAAAGGACTAGGAGTGTCCAGGCATCCCAAGGAAGCACTAATAATGACAGAAAATGACGTTAGGATCCTGACTAACCAAATATTGACAACGCAGAAAGAAGAAACCAAAAAGGAAATTGACAATTGATTATCTCCTCAATTTATCTAAGAATTTACCTTTAAAGATTATGCAGTTTTTTGTTTCCAAATATTCTTAGTGCCACACATAACCAATTAGTCACAAAGGATAAGACATTTTGAAATAAACTATGTAAGGAGTAAGACAAGCACTACAAAACTTTAAGGGCTCGTTTGGTTGTCGTATTAGAAATGGATGGATTGGCTAAGGAATCCAATCTAATACAATATAGATGAACAAAAGACAAGATTAAATGGGGTATTAGAATAATACGTAATTTTATCTAGTGTTTGATAATATACAATATAAGCGTTGGATAATAGTTATTTAGTCCAAATTGTTGTTTGGTTAGGAAATTATTTCATCGTATTAATGTTGAATTAACAAAAATACCCTCAATCAGTATTTATTATGTTGATAAAAGCTCGATTTTATTAGTTGTAGAGTTATAATAGTAAATGTGTATAATAATACATTTGAGTTAGATTATAATACCACATCTTTTGGTGGTATTAAAATACCTCCATAATACAGATCTGTGGTATAAAAAACATATGATAAATATACGATTAGTATAAATTTTTGAAATTAATATAAAATCAAATTTGTCTACCAAACTAAATATTAGACCCAATTAGAGAGTTTTAATTTGTTTTGACTCCCTAATACACACTTTAATACTGCAACCAAGCAACCCCTAAAAGTCATGAACCAGAGGACTGCAGAACTATTTTGTCGGCTAAAAGCATCAAGAGTCAAAAGATATTCAATTTGCCCTCAAAACATCACAAAGTAATAGCCGGTCATCTAATCTCTCTAATGTGGCATTCGAAAGAGACATGTAACGCACAATCCAAGCCAAACAAAAATGTAATTTAGATAAGAGAAGGGACCAGTCATTTTGCTGTGGANCAATAGCCGGTCATCTAATCTCTCTAATGTGGCATTCGAAAGAGACATGTAACGCACAATTCAAGCCAAACAAAAATGTAATTTAGATAAGAGAAGGGACCAGTCATTTTGCTGTGGAATAGGCACCATCCTTATTAAACAAAAGAGTTAAGAATGGTGTGCAAAAGTCTCAGAGTGAAAGGGCCCCTCACTTAGAGCCACCATTTCTTGTAAAAGCAGCCCTCTCAAGTGAAGGGTGCATCAAATCCTCATGAACAACCTATACCTCCCAATGCTAAAGATTAAAGTTCATACCAAACCACAAATCTCAAGATAGTTGATTGTATTACAACCCAAATATACCAAGTTAAATCTATATGTCAGGTAGATTCATTACAAATCTGCTTTAGCTAGAAATACATCATAATTTCAAAAGCTAGAATATGAAATACTGGGTGTACGGAAAAAATACAAGATTAGGAGAAGAAGAAAAGAAGAAAATATTAAGTGGAGGGTAGTATGTGTCTTGTACTAGCGTTGTATAACATCACACACGCACCCCCAAAAAAACAAAATTGGTGAATAGCTCTCTGATGCCTCACTTGCAAACAATGTGATGAAAGATCTTGTTACTAAGTCAAGTCGTTTGGTGAAAACATCAGTCAATTGGTGTGGTGTTTTGATTTCACAAATGGCATGCAAATAAAATCCTTGCTTAGCTCTTCTTTTTTTTTTTTAAGTGTCAAATAAACTCAACATGTTGGATCAATCATGTTAACTTAGATTACAAGCAATATTGATAGCTTAGGTCCATCCATATTTGAAGAAACTGTGTTGAGAAAAAAAGTTAAACAAATTTCTCTTCAACCCTATTTAAGCACGAGAAGCATCCACCAATTACAACATATTAAGACGAACAGTATCCACCAGTTACAACATATTAAGATGACGGATTATTCTCTAAATTAAGGGAGAATCGACTAAGGTAGTTTAGACATATTCTAGATAGCCTACTCTAGCACATGTGAGAAAGATTGATGTGAACAGAAAGACCAAAGTTAATTTTAAATGAAATAATAAAAAAAAATATATATCATCACTTATAATTTAACAGAAGGTATGGCCCTTAATAGAACACAATTGCGAAATAGTATTTTTAGAAATTTTATTATAATTCGTCAATTTCGTCAAGTCTTTGTAAATCTAAACCTTAATTCTATGGTCAAGATGTTTCAAAGCTAAAAACTCCAAAAGCTACATGGAAGGATAGAGTTCAAGCTTCAAAGAAAAATCAAGAAATCATCAATGCACTTTCAATACTTGGGACAAAGGTAATGGCCTAAAGACCTAAAACCTTTTGGTTTATTTATAGACTTGGCATGTTTAGGTAATTGGAATTGGAATTAGGAATGCCCGAGAATCACTCCTAGACTTTTCATCGAAAAAAAATTTTCTAAACAATAAATGTGTTTTAAAAACATAGATCGAGTCATTCGTTGAATCTATTTGAGCAACACCCTTTAGTATTGAATAAAACAAGTTTGTGTTGCGTTTCTAGCTTAAAAAACCAGTAGAGACTGCCCTCACCTCAATTGCCTTCGGTGCGGCCTTTGAACAATTAGAGATAAATTGGGAAAAGCTAACTAGTTGAGCAGTAGAGGTCGCTCAAGTGGTCCTGCTTGCCAAATCTGGTTTTATGCATTTTTTCATTGTAGTGACAACTACCCTCTGACCGCTCGAGCGATGGTTCACAAGTTTGTGTTTACTTTGTCCCCAAGATAAGCCCTATTTCGAACCTATCTAAAGGGTAAGCCTTCTTATGCTAGGATATCTCTATTGTAAGCCAAAATTATGCCTCTTACACCTTTAGAGACCAAAGAAAAACCCTAGATCCCTAAAAAGTGTGCATTCCAAAGATCTTAGGCTATGAAGCACGGACACTCTCGAAAACGTGACGTATCCGTGTCAGACACTAACACTCTTCAGACACATGTCTAATACTCATTTATCCGTGTCCATAATTAAATGATAAATTATTAATTTTGAACACATGTTAAACACTTCTTTGGTGACGTGTTCAACCATTCTTTAGAACGTGTCTACTACTAAACAATAGACATTTGTAAAAATGTGATTAACAAAGTTGAAAATTTTGAGAACATATAATTACTAATGCTAGACATATTAAAATTTTACTCCAAATATAATAATAAAAATAAAAGATGCATAAAAGTTTTAAAAAAAAAAGAATTTAGAAAATGAGAACAATTATTTAAATTATTTATTAGGTACACNAATAAAAGTTTTAAAAAAAAAAAAGAATTTAGAAAATGAGAACAATTATTTAAATTATTTATTAGGTACACATTGTCTACAAAAAAAAAATTGATGATTATTGACTATAACGAGGATGTTTTAGTCTAAAAATTTACACATATGATTAGACATTAGGTTTTCTTATCATGAAATACTGATTTTTTTATGAATTATATATCATTATCACTATATTTGCAATAAATGCAATAATGTTATATATAAAATATAATTTTTTTGTAGCGTGTCCCCAACGTGTCGTGTCTTACTTTTTTGAGAAATGTAGTATCGACGTGTCCGTGTCGTATCGTATCTGTGTCCCGTGTCCGTGTCCGTGTCCGTGTCCATACTTCTTAGATCTTGGGTGCATCCTATAAGATCGCTTGAAGAGCCTAAACAGTCTATTGCGGTGGATGCGTCCAAGTGAGCTACTTAAAACTTTGACAAGTGTTGGAGGAGAAAATTGCAATGGAATGGAGCATCTAACCATGGTAATTGTAAAGGTACAAGCCTCGAGTACTTGTAATTTAATTATGAGTTTAGTGGATTAGGCTACATGAACCCCAAGTGGTTCTACAGTTTTTCTCGGTTAGGTTTCCGCATAAACAAATTGTTGTATCCTTTATTGCTTTATTTTGCATATACACTGGCAATCGCACATACATATACCATGTGTTGAATGAATGATTGTTTATCTCTCAATTTATTAAGAAGTTTTGTAGAGCATTGGTTTTGGGTGAGGTATTGAGGTCGTGGTGA